CAGGAAGTGTGTCATTTTCAAAATGCTTTGAAATCACCCTCTAATTTTAACTCGATTTGCTTCAAACTTCATCTGTATAATGCAAATACATGGCAGATGAAGACCTGTAAATGGATTCTTGATATCTTTGAAACTGTTGCCGTGGCAACGCATCAAACTTTACCATTCTTTTAGGATGCTTTTGAGACTCTTAGCATGCTTCAAATTGCATGAAACTCGACAGACACATCACATTTATTAGCCAGTAGACATGTGCAACGTTTCAGAAACGGGTGTGGTGAGGGCTCAGTAGCGCCACCTTTTGACAAAAGTGGGGTTGTTAGTTTTATCTACAGTTACAAAAATCAGTATGTATATTGTACTCCTCGAGCCGGACAACTTTCTAATTGACACTCATTAGCTAGGACCCACAGAAAGTCAGATATGTTTGTTTGAATGTAGAGAAAATCTCAGAATTTTGCCAGTCTCTCAGTGTCTCTCTGTGTGAGTGAGAGGAGGGGCGCCTGTCAGGTTAATTTTAACCCTTTATTTGCTGTGTGCAACTTCTCTGGCATTTTCGGGGGCCTTAACATCCTCTAAAACTCTTGAAACTTTGCACACGGGTCAGAACCCATGGCCATCAGGGCCGGGCTGAAGCTGGTAACCGGGCGTGGCAGGGCGGCTCGACAGCGCCCCTGGACTGGGATTCAAAAATTTGTCCATAAATCAAACACACTTGCATGAATTAATATGAAACTCGGTACAATTAAAGATCACATCAGGCCAAACAACTTTCGTGCTCTAAGTTTTATGACAGTTCAAATGGAAGTTATTTATGAATTATGAATTATGGGTTGTTTGAATAATTGTCCTAGGAGAAATACATCAAATCACAAGGCATGTGTTTACCAATCACAACCAAACTCGGTGTGCATGAAGTCAAGACATTGAGGATGCTCAATTCCGGACGGATTTTTGATATCTCGAACGGTCTGGCCGTGGCAAGGAAATGAATTTTATGACTAAAAAAGGACACATAAAGTGTGTTATAACTTTGCTCAATTTACCTACAGTTACAAAACTTACCACGTATATTGTTCTCGTCAAGCCGATCAACTTTCCAATTTAAAGTCATTCGCTCTGAGCAACAGAAAGTCAGATATTGTAGTTTGAATGGATTTATTTCCCCTGCGATTCTCTCTCTCTCTCTCTCTCTCTCTGTGTGTGTGTGTGTGTGTGTGTGGGTGTGTGTGTCTGTGTGGGGAGGGGAGGGCTGTTGTCTGGCTGTTGTCTGTGTTTATGTGTGTGTGTGTGGCTGGCTGCGATTTTTCCTACAAGTCCTTGTCTCTAAGTCCTTGTCTTTTTGCATAACAATTTTGCATAACAATATTTTTAAATGACAAAATAGGCATATAACCCCCATCTTTTAAATGTATAGTTTGCTTTAAATAAAAGTAAGATTGTATTTGTAATTGAAGTTGAATGAATTTAAAATTCATGTGCTATATTTCAATATATTTGTTTTCCTTAAGATTTTAAAACACTAACTTCATTCTTATCTGAATTACAAATATTTGTTTCTGTATAAAATAATACTCTGACTAAAAACACATTTGATGTTTTTTTTTTTGGATTTTTATTTACATGTATTTATGTGTGTGTGTGTGTGTGTGTGTGTGTGTGTGTGTGTGCGTGTGTGTGTGTGTGTGTGTGTGTGTGTGTATAAAGTGCAGGGGTTTTTTTAGATAAAGTAGAATTTCTATAACTATGTGTTGAACTAATAAATCACTCTTGTGTGTGTTAAACACAATCTACTTAATACAGACAACTTCATTATAAAGATAAATAACAAATCCAAAAAATATATGATTATAATCTATGACAAAAAAAGCCATTACAAACTATATTAATGGAAAATACACATTGCTCTTTGTATTGTTGTAAAATATTCATGAAAAACAAGATAACAAAAATCAAAAAGATAAATTATTTTAGATATAGCCATGTTTTAAATGTATAGCAGAGATGTTAATTGAGGCAGCAACATACAAACTTTCTAGAACAACATGGACCTGAATAGCTGGTTTTTATGGAGGACAGTGAAGAGGAAGAGGGTGCAAATCAAACAGCTCATTCTCAGACTACACAGCAAACAGCTTAAGTTTTTAGTGCTTTGTTTGAGGTTTTTAGTGCTCTGTCCTATCTATTATCAACATATATTAGATAGAACAGAACAAGAAAGGCAATTAATAATCTGTCATTGCGTCACTGCATTATGATATGAAAGGCTCAGTACAGTGTGGCACAAAACGCTTATGCGCATCCCGAGTGGAGAATGATGCGCTTAAAGCCACATGGAGTTACAGCGCACAGCGCATCGAGTCCGCATTGATGCAAGCTCTACAATACACTTCTTTTTGATAGTCAAAGCGGGGGTTACGTTTTTACACGTCGTACAGAATAACCCTAAAGGCACCAAGGTGGCGGTGCCACCGGCTTTATATTAAATATAAATATAGATGTGAGCAGCGATAAAGCGCCAAAGCCGGCGGTACCACCATCCCGGTGCCTTTGGGTAACTAAAGGCATCGGGGTTGCGGTGCCACCGGCTTGGGCCCGCAATCGCTGCTCGCAGCTATATTTTGTATTGTGTTTGAATAAATCTGTCAATTTTATGATTTTATATTTTGTGTGTAACTGGAATGTATATACAAATCAGTTCATTTTCAATATTATATTATATGTATACACCAGTTATATTTATTATATAGTTAGTTAAATCTAATTATTATTTATACACTTTTTCTGTACCCCTGCTGTTGTAGGCTGTATACAAAGATTGACAGATACTCACATCTCTCCAAGATCAGACTTGTATCTGTGGTCCTGTGTCGGACAAACTGTTTAAGTATCTGTGAGGAAAGGGTAAAAACAGTCAGCCAATAGTAATCCGTATAAACCAACATGAACCCATCTACATCTTGTTTCATTAACGTTACCTGTGCGGAAGCATTTCTCAACATCTTCTCTCCTTGGTGGATGATGCTATGATGCTTGCTGATAGGTTATACACCCTGTGAAAGAAAAATGGCGTTATCAGAGTCATAAAGGAATAGTATACGTAAAATGAACTACGTAAAAATAATGTTGAAAAATAGATTATTTGCCTTATTTGCATTCCACCTATAAATACAGCAATATCATGATGTAGTTCAAGGTAAAACATTCTTTACAATATCCTCTATAATATAATTTTTAATTTTATACTTTAATTATATATTATTTGTTCTGTATTCTTCTTTCAGCAAATCCAATCAAGAAACACATGTTAATCTCCCGCCACGATTCACTTGCACCAACTAGTCACGTTTAGAAGACACATGTAATGGTGATCGTACGCTTTACACCTACGATGTATAATCTATGTCGTTTTCGCAGTTTATATGAAAGACAAACTTCGACTTACAAGTTCAAACATAGACAGTATAAGAAGTGGACACAGCCAAGTTCAAAAGATCCCGATAATGCTTCTATAACCCCACGCTGTTTCCTGTGCGTCTTGGAAAACATTCCCCAGTAGCAATAAACGAAAAACGCCCGTTCCCGTTAAAACGCTAGCAATGAAATTACTTGGCCATTTATTTTACCAAAATATATAAAACAATCCATTTAAATACAATAAATAATAAAAAAAGATGGAAATGTAAAAATGTTCGACATTTAATTAAAAAAATGACATTTATATACATACTTTCATTTTATTTAACAAGTCTACAGGCCTCAAAGTGCTCATAGTTGCAGAAACACACATCTTCATTCAACAATTTGGGTTTATAAAAATGAGATAGAGACACAAATTTAAAATATTTGTTATTTTTATTTTGAGGCCTTGAGGTACATTGAGTTCCTGAAGTTTAGAACAGTCTTATAGAGAGTGCATCCAAACAACAAAACAGAAAAGTAAATAAAAATGAATAAGAGCATTCATACCAGATGCTTTACTTTACAGTAAATGTGTGAAGAAGATTCACATTTAGGTGATAATACTGTGATCACTCTGCCAGTGCCAAAAGTGCCATTAGACATCCATCTTTTTATATATATTTAAAATAAATAGTTTCATATATTAAATGTTCTGTGATGTTCATGTACTTTGTGTTGACTTCCCATTAAATCTTTGATATTTTACACATATTACAGTGATTATAATCCTGAGTGTAGACAAAGGCGATATGCTAAACAGAGTGGAATCCTGCAGTCTCTGTTCAACACACAGTAAGACACAATACAAGACTTGAATTCAATCTTAAAGTGCAGCATATTCATTCAAGGCATATTCGCATATCAGAACACCTGTGCATCTGTTTTTTATGAAATCTTGTTTTGGCCATGGAATAAAAAAAAAAAAAGGTAATTGCAACTTTTCCTCTCATTTTTGACTTTTTTTCTCTTAATTGCAAGTTTATATTTTACAATTCTGAAGGAAAAAAATAGAATTGCGAGATAAACTCAGTATATGATAAATAAAGCCATAATTGCAGGAAAAAGATGTGAGAAAAATAGTCAGAATTGCAAATTATAAACTCGGAATTGTGAGAAAAATGTCAGAATTGTGAGAAATAAACTCAGAATTGTGAGAAAATAAACTTTGAATTGTAAGAAAAAAGTCATAATTGCAATATATTAACTAGGAATTGTGAGGGAAAAAAAGTCAGAATTGCAAGGTATAAATTCACAATATCAACTTGGAATTGCGAGAAATAAAGTCAGAATTACTCAGATTTTGACAAAAATAAAGTCAGAATTGCAAATTATAAAACTCGGAATTGTGAGGAAAATGCCAGAATTGTGTGATATAAACTCAGAATTGTGAAAAATAAAGTCAGAACTGTGAAATATAAACTCAGATTTTGAGAAAAAAAAAAAAGGTCAGATTTGCAAGATATAAACACAGAATTGCGAGATATCAACTCGGAAGAGCCACAAATAAAGTCACAATTGAGATATAAACTCAGAATTTTATAAAAAAAACTTAAGTCAGATTTGCGAGATAAAACATTGCAATTACCTTATTATTATTTTTTATTATGTGGCGGAAAGAAGCGTCCATAGTTTTTTACAATGCAGAAATAAGAAATTCAATCTGAGAGAGACAGATGCACATTAGCAGCAGAGCTCAGGGTTTCTGGAGAACCAGACTGAGGAGCTGGGAAAGAAGGCTCTGGGCGGGCTGACTGATGGGGTAGTGAGGGGGCAGTTTGTCCTCCAGACCTGACATCTTCACGTAGTACCTATAAAAACAGAGGATTTTTTTTAATGTGACAGCCCTGTCTTAGCCTTGAAAACAACTGGACCTGACGAAGCTCATGAAGAACCTGAACTCCTCCTTGAATCCTGTCCTGATGTATTTGCTCAAACAGGTGCTGTGCTGCAGACAGGCTAACAGAACATGGATTCGCTGGTACAGAAGAACCGCCTGAGACGGGCTGACCGGAAACTGCGGGCCTGAGAGGACCAGAACCACCTGCTGGGCCTGATATCCAACAAACGGGAGCTGTGATAGAGAAAACCAAACAGGACGATCATATTAGCTGAAGCGTGGACTAGAAGAAGGTACGTTCAAACATTCGTTCTGATATAGGCGATAGGCGTGGTAATCATCTGGATTTATGCAAATGTGCGTAAAAATGAAATGGTTATGTACTTACTAAGAATGGATGAGGTTTAAGCAATCGAAACACCCAGCCAATGGTAAGGAAATGTCCTAGAGAAGGTGTGCGACTAGCCTTTGAAATAATTAAGACAAGTAAAGCTGATCAGTATTATATATATATATATATATGCAGTGAAATTGACCCTAGGAAAAATGACATATTCACCCTTATTTAAATATTACTAAAAATTATAATATTGTTGTACTACAGTTATGCTTGGAGTTAATTGTTTTAAGTTGCAATGACATAATTTTTGGGCCAGGCTGTCATACAAAGAATTTATGAACACACGCAAAAACCAGAGAGAATCAACAAAATATTAATACCTGATTATGTTATAGTCAATATATGCTTTTTCCTGTGAGCGGAAAAAGTTTTTTTTTGCATATTAAAAAATAAAACCTGAAGTTTGGCTTTTTTTATCAAATAATTTTGTCAGATAAATACCTGTTCTTCCCTTATATTTGAAATATTTACAAAAAATGATAGTTTAATCAAACTTGTAGGGTCATTAAATACAAACATCCCCTCCGCTTTTGACTGGTAGTGTGTATATAAATCTTCTCACCTCCTGACAGAGGACAACAACCTCAAACAGCAACGCAGACGCCGCATCCAGATAGTCCGCCTGCAGATGCTGCATCTATGGCACACAAAAACATTTCATTATCATAAATTCAATTTACTTATCATAAATTATTTGATCATAAACAATCAAAAAAATGTGTGTTCCTTACACTGGGCAGCCAGGATGAGCAAATAACGACAAAGAATTAAATTTTTTTCCATTCTGGACTGTCTATTATACCTTAGTTATTGAAGATTTGGAGTCCTTCGTAGAGTCTGGCAGCTGAAGATCCAGGTCACACACTAAAGCTTGCAGCATGTCCGCTGTAAGAGCCCCTCTGCATCAAACAACACCCACATCTCATTTAAATAAGATTTAATGAGCAGAGTAGACTGATATTATTGCCAAGGTAGAATCACTTACTGTTTGGCCATCAACATGCTGAGTCTCGTCGGTTCAATCTCTGTTTCCCTGAACATCAGGCTTAATATCTGAACCACTAAAGTGCAAAGCCTGCAGAACATAGACACAACATCGTCATCTTAATGTCCTCAAAAGCAGCAGCAACTTCACGCATTACAGAAAACCTACAGCACAGATCATGAAAACGTGCTTGGTGCTAGGGTGCAGGTTGTAAAATGCTCTCAGTTGTTTAAATTATAAACATGGATAGTTTAGACAAGTTGCATGTCTGGATTTCTTATTATGAGGCTTACAGAAGTCTGTCAGCTGTGTGAACTCCTCCCTGATCACCCTGAGAGCTTTCAGCCAGAGTTTTCACCAGGAAAGGATAAAGATCAGGTGACTGAGAAGCAAATAAGAGAGGAATTTTCATTTTTGGATAAACCGTTCCTTTAAAGTGCATGTAAACACTAAAGCATAGAGCAGCATCTTACCCTCCAGAAGAGTTTTTTGATGGTGGGGTTGCGGTATGTGGCCGTGTGCAGCTCCTGCAGTAGTAAATACTGACTCTCCAGACCGATGTTCTCCTGTAACAGCTCTCCACTCAACTGACCGAACAAGTGACACGTCCGCTCCCAGCTGGAAACACATTAGTAGACGCTTTCTTAGCCTGTGCATTTTACACTGCCGGCATGCATAAATATGAACACTTCAGTCAGATAGATGCAAACCTGATCTTGTGATATTTCTGTTTCTGAGGAGAAGAGGAGGATATGCCACATCTCCTCCTGTACACTGGGTCCAGCATAAAAGTGGATCTCTACAAAAAAAACAACAACAACATTAAACATTATTTTAAGTGCATTACTTACAATGCCCAACACATGCAATTAGATTCTGTGGAAAATGGCCATGGTACGAGATTGACTTGCATATTGACCGGTAAACACAAAAGCCTAGCAGATATGACATAGAATTGGACACACACATAAACACACACATACTATGATATAGCTGCTCCAGGAGCTCTGTAGGCGAGGGAATATTCGGGACGATGGAGATACAGCATAAAGGTGCAACTCTTCCTCTCTCTCATCTTCCTCTTCCTCCTGCTTCTCTGTTATTGTTCTCCTCATCACTCTTGTCAGGACTGAACCTCTGTGATGGAAGGCTACAGAGTGTTGAGTAGAGGTCCTTCGCTGGTCATTAGTGATGCTGGGGAGAGGAGCTGCACTGGAGGAGGTATTAAACACACTCAGACCCAATACATCCGGGTTTGGACAGGAAGCTGAACGTCTTTTCGGAACGGCGCTGCCCTCTTCTTCCTCCAGTGCACCATCACTATAATAACAGACAGAGATCTTTTATTTTGTTACGGCCAGTAATTTTTTTTTTTAAAGGTTTAAGATCTGAAAATTGTCTTAAAAATGTGGTCAACAGACTAGAATAAAAGTATATTATATATATATAAATGGCAGGGAAGCAGGTTTATTTTAAAATTAGTATAAACAAATAATATTATTCATATTTTAAAAACTAAAAAAAAGTGAAAAAAAAAATTAACTAAAAAAATAATTAAAAAGAAAATATAAAATAATTAATAAAAACAAAATTGTATATCTGTGATACTAAAATAACACTGGCTTTACCATCCAACATCTGACAACCTGAAATGCCTTCCCATCAATTACATTTTATGATGATTAAGGTTTTAAAAAATATATATTTTATATATATTTAGTTAAGATTAACATGGCCTAAGGTGTTCAAACATGTTCATGGCCTTGCGTTCAAAATTTAACCTAGACATTTTTTAAATCATCTTTGTGTCACATCACACGGATTTGTCTAATAACAAAAAAGCTGATATAAGATGGATCTCTTTTTATAATCAAAACAGATCTTCAAAGAGGTCCTTGGAACTGTATAATTTAATAGGGCCTTTGAAAAAGCATAAAAGCAAACTAGCTGCACTGACAGACCACATCCATGAGGAGGCGCTGTGACATGTTCAGTGGCAAAGGACTTCAAGGTTTGGATGCCAGACAAAGTCCTTCACATCCCATCATCATCCTCCCAATTCAATATCGTCTAATAGGATGCAGGATTAAAAAAAAAAATCTTTCCATACTCCTCGACATTCTCACAATTTCCTTAGTGGAAAATGCCCACAAACTTTTTTTAGGTGCACTGACCTACTTTTCGTTCTCATGCTAAAAAAATGCTCACAGACCATCTCTGTACAGCCGCACTGACCCGCACACCACTGACTCAATAAACCCTTCAAATTATGCTTAAACTGTGGAAAAGCTGGCTTTAAATAACATTTATAGCACTTCCCATGTGGTTGTGTGTGTCTCCTCAGACAATGGCAAGCGCTCACAAATTTGTGCTGAATGTGAGCTAATGGTCTCCCTTGGGTAGGATTCGACTGGAGCTGAGAGTCACATTACAGTGCCACTGAGAGATATCACACATCACACTGTTCTCAGAACAGTCTCAGAGAGGTTTGATGAACACAAACACAGTAGCGAGGGCTGACATCTCACCGTTAAGAACGTTATGCTGGCATGTTTTGCTGAGACAAACAAGGTCTTTTAATTGGATATTTATTGCTTGGTCTCATCTTGTGCCCTGGCAACAGTGTGAATGACGCCAGTGGCCTCCCCCTCTGCGTCCCCTGCTCAATGCTGTCAAGTCATGGACTGTCAACAGTGAAAAATGCATGACTACACATCATCACTGCAATTGATGTCAGTTTTGGAAACCACATTAAAGCGGTTTTCAAATTGTGGGAGCTTTCGTTGTGAACAGCATTGTTATCGTCAACTAAAACTGAGCCTGTTTAAAAGCATTTTTGATATTGAGAAGGCTGAAATCAAATCAAATATTCAATGAAAAACTTAAAAATAAATAGAAAATAAAAAAGCATTGCCGTTGCAACTAACTGAAATAACTCTTGAGTACTAAAAATACTAACTGAAAACTGTTAGAAAGTAGAAAAATCTTAAATTATTTTAAAAAGCTAATTCAGAGTATTAATTAACGCTATAATGCTATAACACTGAAGAATATATTCAATTTTCATTTACATTTTCACTTCTACAACATGTAACAGCAAAACTTAATATGCTGCTGGTTTCTAATTTACAAGATCTTTCTTTCCTTTTTCTGCGTTCATTAAACATGCATATGTAACGCAACCTCTCTTCTTGCCCCATTTCCTTTTCAGAGGCTCACATTGCAACAGAGAGCAACATGCTCTGCAAATTGCAACAGAAAAGTTACCTTTAAAGCTACAGAAAATAGTTCCAGAAGTTACAGTATGTTTTCATCATAGACAGTAAAAGGGTTTTCATAGTACGTCTTGAAGTTCCCCTATTATGCCGTCTCAATCACAGCAGACAGAGTAGACCAATCACAACAGACTGGGCCATCTGACCAATCAGAGCAGAGTAGGCTTTAGGGGGGTTTAGAAAGACCGAATCATTTATTGAATCGTTTCAGACACTGTTCTTATTAACTGTGAATCAAGTGTTGAGCTGAAATTGAGATATGGTAACGGCTGTTTCAGTTTCAGACCCACGAATGACTGGGTCATCTAGTAACGATGGCGTCGGTTTACCGTATCAATTTGAGCCTGATTCCTCATTCTTTGGAAGTGAACAAAACAGAACACAGCATCTTCTCAACATGTCGATAACACAAACCAAACTCTTCCGGGTGAGGGCCGGTCAAACTAGACATTTGTCAGCAGCCAATCAAGACATAGACTTGCATTATGCAAATGTGTCAGCTTATTATTCATTCCTTTTCTCCATTAAATAATGCTTTTTGCTGCATGTCGCTGGATAAAACTCCAAGTCATTTCACCATTCAGCGACCTATGAACCTTTAAATCAGTATACTATGTATCGCCTATAGACCTTATTCAGAGCAGCGCCATGACGGGTATGAAAGTGAGGCTGTGAGGGATAGACTTACCGTGTTTCCAATGGCATCCGCTATAAAAAGCCCTCACAGCCTCGCTTTCATTCTCATTAAAAATCAAAGATGTCGCTGCCGTGAATAAGGCATACACAGCGTCAGCACAGAATAAAACTTAACCAAACTTCAATCTAGGTTCTAAGCAACAAAGCACAACACAGACCGTTCTTGTGCGCCCTGTGAGATATAAAAAGTGATCTCCACATTTACTATCACACCGGTCTGTTTAATAAGATCGCTGTGGCTCGAGTTGCTAAGCAAATTCCTCTTCAAAACGGAGTCTGTTCGTCCTGTGCATTGTAGAGTCGGAAGCAGTAAAAAGCTGTGTGGTGGAGATAAAGCACTTTGAATGGGTCATTGTGACGGTCACAAATACACAGCAGTCGTGTTGGTTGAAAGTGAGGCCGTTAACACTGAGAGGACTTTACCTCATTGATGTGGGAGAGATTCTCCAGCTGGAGGACTCAGACGGAGCTGAGCGTGTCGACAGGAGAACTTGACTCATTCCTGCGGAATCACAGGAAAACACTTATTTGTTTTCATTTTGACACTTGAAGTTTATCTGAGATGACAAACTGAAATCTTAATGAAATTATCTACTTAAAAAGATTCAAAATGGCGTTTAATTTTAAAGCAACAAACAACGTCACATTCATTTTTTTGTCTGGATCTATTGATTTTTTCCCCCCTAACAACCAGCAATTACTTGAATATGAAGAAGTGGCCAAAAGTGTTGTCCACAGGGGATATTTGTTTTTAATGACCACAAGTTTGATTAAGCCATCAAAACACAAAAACATTTGGCCAGAGTGATTTGCATGCAGCAGCACCTGAGAAGCCCCGTGGTGAGGAGCAGAGAGTTCGCTCAGAGTGTTGCTCTAATCACTCACCCAAGTAGCAGTGCTTCGCCTTCTGAGAATATAGTTCCCAGTATCTATACGGTTAAAAGTTGCCTGTGTCTCATATGACCATGTTATTTGTAATTGCACACACTATACAAATCACAACATATAAATAGGAAAAATGTTTGCGTTATTTTGTCACTTATTGGGAGCATCATGCTAACTGGAGCCATTTACTTCCAGTGTTTGTGCTAAGCTAGGCTAGCGGTTGGTGCGTCAGACAGATGGTGCGTTCTATTATTTATCCGAAGACAGACGTTGCCTAGCAACACGCCCCCTTTCCTCGGATTTCTCCTCTCGGATGTCGGACAACTGTGAAGACACCAAGCAAGATTCAAGATGGCCGCGCCCTGTGTGACTTGTAAGTATGAAATTGTTTTCATAGTTTTTGAACTGCTTTGGTATTTTAAATGACGGTTATAATCACTCGTATTGCTACTGGGAATCGGTTGTTGTGAGAGCAATTACTAACGTTGCTAGCGTTGCTAACAGAAGACTAGCATGAAAAACATGAAATAAAGTGAACATTTTCAAGTTCAAATGGCTGCGTTTTGATAAGGTGTAGTCATAATTTTTTTTAATGTAAGTGCTAAATCACATTTTCGGTATTCCGGACATCACGATATTTAATTTTTTTCACAGACTCGGATGCGCAAAACATAATAGAACGCTGGAAGTGTGGACGTAACGTCATATCCGAGGTCCGAGTCGGTTCGTTAATAGAACATCGCAGGAGTTACAGCACGCATGCGGATGAAAAGGGTATGTATGGGCTTACCTAACTTTGGGGGATACCGTGAATAAGCTAAAGTCACAAAAAGTTGGAGTGTTCCTTTAAATGTGACTTTGTCTGTTGTTTGTTTAAACTAAGCTCATGTATGCTTAATTTTGTTGCTCCTTTAGAAATAAGAAAACTTATTAAACCAATAATTGTTAAAGAAAATGTATTGACCTGCTAAAATAATAGAACAAATTTCACAACGATAGACTCCTCTTCATTCACATATGAACTCAAATGATGTAAAGTGTCCTTGTGCGTCCTGTCCACAGTGCTGTTTCTCTCAGATAACCTCATTCAGCTGTTTATCTTGAACTGGTAAAGCAGTTTTCCTGCACTGCCTATGTGCAAGCAGAGTAAATCTAAATGCCGAAGTGTCAGGCACAAAACTCACAGCCTCAATGTGGGTTATGCATGTGTCAGTACTGCTGCTTCATCTGGACAGGTGAAAGAGCTCGTGGATTAACACACATCCATACGAGGTCAGGGACTTGACTAATGCGATTCAAGTTTATATCACGGTCAAGGAGAAAATGGATCCTGGGCTTCTAATAATAACCATGCAGTCATGCTTGTGAACAGATTAATTATTAATTTTTGATTTAATTAAATTGTTTTTACCCTCCAGAGAATGCCGGGCACTCGAGTTACGTCCTTGCAATGGAGATGGTGGGCATTCTGGCTTATTCTTGCTGGATCCTTTGCTCTTTTTCCCAGTATTCTTTACAGTATGAACAACACGAATATGCAGTGAACGCTCACGCTCCTCTCCACTGAGGAAATCAGGCAAATCGTTGATCTGCGAGGAAAGATAGAGATGTGCATTGACATTGAGCACACTGCAATTTTGTTGTCTGCGTGAGCTCTTTAAAATCAGGTGGATTCTGATTGGCTGTCATTGTTTTTATCACTCATAATCAAAAATCGCTCTGAAACTGAAAGTGATTCCAGTTTCTGTGCCGTTATCGTTATAGTTGGGGTGTGAACTCTGCGATTTTTTTTTTTTTTTTTTTACTATAAACGATTTGATAACTATATCTTTATCATAATCATTATAGTCATCGTCCTTGCTGTGAACAGGCCTTTACTGTAAGCCGCTTGAAGCGGGAATGAATTTTTTATGATTTTTTTAATTAGCCTACACCTAATCATAAATTAGCATCATTAGTATGTATATTTTTATATACATTTGTGCATTTATTGTATTCCCAGGCCAGCCAGCAGCAAGCTGGGGATAATTCTGTTATTCCTAAGAGATCAATTGCCTTTCCTTGTTAATTCTGCCAGTGTGACATTTACAAGCTTCATGCGTCTGTCTCATACAGTCTCCCAGTGCTGAAACGTTCCATGACTGAAGCTTTGATCTGTGTAAGTGCATAAGCTTACCAAACAAACCTTCTTTAAGCAGTTTAACATGACAGGATAAGTAAACGTCCTCACTATTATTAGCGTTGTCTTGTCACCACTGCTTGCTAGACAGTCATGCTTTATCTTACATTTACACAACAGTGAGTTATGTATGATTTAAAACTAATGTTGTTATATTGATGGCAAATTGAGGTAATTTAAGTTTAATAATTATACAAAAAATAAGACTTCTGCCATGTGAAATGCGTCATACAGGGTTCCAACATTTCTAGGCTGATTCATTTTCATGATTTTCCAAGATTTTCCAATGATTTGTAATGACTGGATAAGATTGCTCTCACAAAGAGTATTTTCTAGCTTTAAAAATGTTGCTTAACTACACAAATGTATATTTCCATCTATGACCTTTTAAGATTTTATTCATTTTAGGACTGGCAATCACACTGTTGAAATGTACCTGATATTTCCAGGCTGGTCAGAACCGTGTGAACTCTGTTCTGAAGAGTATATAACCAAGTTAAATTATGACAATGAATTTTGCAATGAAGATTTTTGAATTTGTGCACATTCAAAGAAGCAAAATATCCTTTGTATATCTACCTACGCAACTTTTCTCTAATTGTGCAAATACACAAAGTAAGGTGGTTACTTATATAATGTCTATATGCTTTATTTTATTGTTGATGTATTATACTGTGCAATAGTGCAATAGCACTACATTGTGTTATACTCCATTATGCTCTTGTGTTGTTTGAGTAAATGCATGAATCAATCTATATGCAATATCAATAGATGAAATAACAATATTGATATGTCTAGTTATACAGTATCTCTTGCTCTCACCAGCTCCATCCTCGAGACGTGTCTGAAGCTGAACGCCTCTCGCAGCGCGCGAGGAGGATACTCGCTCAGATACACGCGCTCATCGGTCAGGATCACATGCATGAAAACCTTCTTCACCGACCCTGAGACCACCACACACGGCTCATAGAACCGGATCCGCTCGTACACATCCCGGTTGGTGTTTCTCTTTAGGAAAGAGTCCAGTTTGCTGTTTTTCTTGCAGAGCAGCCCGTCCGCGCTGGTTCTGGCCATGGGAATGTCACCTTTAACACCACGCTCACTCACTCCACGTACCATATCCCGCGCATGCTGTCATATTAAATGTAGTGTATAACGTTAAGTCATTTATACATCCATCCATCCATCCATTCCCTGCCGTGTTGTCTGTTAGGTGTATTCTCGATATCTGTGCCTTTGGAGCGGCGCACTCATTGCGCACGCGCAGATACCCTTATAAATAGTGCAACATGGTTTGGCTCATTGTTATGTATGTAACGTTACATGTACAACCGGCGCACCGTCATAGAATGTCTCCGAACAGATTCACGCCCACTTTTAGGGGAAAATAAATTAGGTTTCCCATAGACTTCAATCCAAAATAGTGTGACAAAACAACGTCCGTAACGTTACACAGCCGGCAGGAGTGAATAACTTAAGAAATCACTAAACATATTAAGTAACGTTAATTATATGTCCACCCTGCCTGCCTTAGATCGTGAAAGATACATCCACACACTTAATTTGGTCAATTTAAAAACATGTCCCTTCATTCTCCCAGCCTCAAATTGGTGTAACAACCCCACCCAGTGGATAACATGATGCAACAATGATCATAAATATATTATGCAAATAACTGACCCTGAAACAAACCCGAATCCTACCCTAACCATATCGTATTAGTAAGTATATGTAGTTTATTATAATTACTCAGTCATTACTTTAATCTATAAGTACACTGTAATAGGGAATCATTAAAATAAAGTGTAACCGATTTGATTCTTTTTTGTTTGTTTCACGGATAATTCACATTTATTTTTATTCTTAGGATCTAACTTTCTGGGTCCAGTCAAACTGGCCTACTTGTGCTGAAGCTTTCCAATAAGCTGACTGTCAAATTATTTTAGCTCATCTTTTCCAGCATTGGCATGTCCTATTGCTAGGTTATAGGACTCAACACTGAAGAAAAAGATGATGAATTACAGTAAATTCAACAGTGACTGAAAGATTTGGCTTTTCCATGGATACTGTTGCACTGAAAAGATTGCTTTTTATTATTTAAAGTATGTAATAAACCTTCATGTATTAAAATCTTGACATGTTTAAAAATTCTATTATCAATACTCCATTTTAACAATGCAAAATGTGTAGTTATTACATAGTAAAACATGTAACATAAAACACTCTATAAAAATGTTAATTTTTTGACTCTGTGGTGAGACATTGTAGGCAATGAAAAAAGACAAGACATAGATAATAATTTGAATCTTTTTAATATTATTAGTTTTTTAGTTTTAAACAAAATCAAGTTTTAAGTAATAGGTTTATGAGATCCCAACGTCTGTCCGTAATCAGGACATCAATGCAACTCGTATAAACCTCCATAATAAACATAAACATAATAATGTGACCTGACATGGCTGGATATTTACATTTTAGTTGAACCTTTGACACAAAAAAAAAAGAACTAGCTGAAAATAAAACCTGGAGTGGATCACAGTATACCAGTACGGATCTTTCCTGTCCAAGAAACTATATAGTTGTTCAGAAATGTTCTTATACAGTATGCAACATACTAAATGTAACTACTATGCAGAGACCCACACAACGTCTAGAGATCTAGTGCTGTGTAGAGATCTAGGTGGCTCTTGCTTGAGTCCATCATTTCTCTTGCTTCTTCTGAACCCCAGTCACCCTACAGGAGACGTTTGCATGTAGAGGCCGTAATCCGTGGCCATGGTGACAGTTGTAAAAGTTGTGAATACTCAAAAATGTGCTGCTATGGCCACAGGCGCTGTGGAGTGGCACCGGGGTACGGCGGCAGAACGGGCTGTTCGCTGGGGCTTTCTGTGGGCGGAGGGGTGGAGAGGCGGAGGTAGATGGGCGCGCTGGGTGCAGTCGGGACAGTGGGTGTGGGCACCCTCTGCAGGACCACATGAGGATACATCTGACTTTCTGTCCGGTAAAGCCCAGGAAGAGGAGCTTTCATGAGGTTTTCCTGACTTCTGCAAAACAAACACAGTTTGGGGTCAGAATTTGTTTTGTTTTGTTTTTTTTGCTGTCCCTTTTTTGTAATTGGATTAAATCAAATAGAATAGAATACAACTTGTTGCTACCCCTTTTCATGATTGGATTACATAGAATAGAATAGAATAGAATAGAATAGAATAGAATAGAATAGAATAGAATAGAATAGAATAGAATAGAATAGAACTTGCTGCTTTAGCTTTTTCATGGTTGGACTAAATCAAATAGAATAGAATAGAATAGAATTTCATTATTAGGACTAAATCAAACTCAGAGTAGAATACAATGCAACTTTTATTCAGCAAGAACACATTCAATTGATCAAATGTGACATTTATAATATTCCAAAAAACGTTTGAACGTTTGAACTAAAACGCATCACGGTTTCAACAAAAATATGAAACTGTTTTAACATTGATAATAATTGTTTCTTGAGCAGCAAATCAGAATGTTAGAATGATTTCTGATGGATCATGTGACACTGAAGACTGGAGTAATGATGCTAAAAATTCTGATTTGATCACAGGAATAAATTACATTTTAAAATATATTACAAAAGAAAACTATTCTATTATAGTATGTTTACTAAAATCTATTGTAACTAAACTATTGAAAATCTATTTTTAAAAATGCAAATGCAAATAAATGCAGCTTGGTTGAGCGTAAGAGACTTCTTTTAAAAACATTAAAGACTTTTACAGCATTTTACACCACCCAAAAATGAAAATTCTGTCATCATTTATTGTTGTTCCAAACCCATGTAACTTTTTTCTTCCTAAATGATGGCAGAATATTCATTTTTGGGTGATTTATTCTACTAATCTCACATAGAAACACATAAACACAATCAAGTTAATTTAACAATTCACTGTTTCTCACCTCTGATAGCCGCGGTTATCATAACCAGCCAGTCCCCCCATATAGACCGGGGTCTCAGGGGTCAGATTGGGGTCAAGGTGCTGGGAAAGATTGTAAATTTTAGGTGGAGGAAAAGCTTCCCAGTCTCCTTCATCTCTTTCCAGCCAGCACTCACTCCTCCAGGGTGATTTGCGCTTGTTTCTCATCCTAGAAAAAAATCAGAAAAATCATTAGCATTCTATTTTAGGTTGCGTTGTCTCTTTTTCCCCTGTGTGTATGAACGGTCATACCTGCCCCGTCCATCTGCCCGTCCTGCCCTCTCTTTGCTCATGCGCTCCTGCAGGCAGCAGATAATGAAGGACACGGACATGGCAAAGATGACGATGCTGCTCACTATCGATGCCAGCACGGCCACTCTCAGCCCGCGGTCCTCTGGTTTGGGAATGGCTACCACATTTACACAATAGTCCACATTGAAAATCTGGGATTGAATTAGCAAGAGTGCATTTCTTAACTCTTTTTATCTCTTTAAAACAGAAATGATGGCAGTGAACACAGACCCTCGCAGTCTGGCGGGTAGTTGCTCCACTGAGCGGTGTTGCTACGCAGGACACACGTGATTTTCTCGCTGCCCACCAGCTGGTACCCCTCGAGGCACCAGAACGCCAACACCGTCCCCACAGACATCCCTGTGCCCTTCTCTACATAGAAAGAACCTCGCCGAGGGGGCAGCAGCGACACGCAGCTCAGGTCTGCAAAAAAACAAAACAAAAAACAAGCAAACAGATGCTTAGAACTCACTTTTCAATGTGTTTAGACTTCAATATGAACTTAAATCCAACACAGAATAAAATAGAATAGAATAGAATAGAATGCATATGGTTCTATCATGATTGAAATAAATAGAATAGAATAAAAATGCAACTTATTGGTTTCTCTTTTGCATGATTGGACTAAATCAAGCACAGAGTCGAATATCACTTTTTCACGTTTGGAAAAAAATCAAGCACTGAATAGAATAAAATAGAATGCAACTTGTTGCTGTCACTTTTTCATGATTGGACTAAATCAAACAGAATCGAAAGCAACTTTGTTGCTATAATGTTTCATGTTTGGACTACATAAAATAGAATAGAATAAAATGCAGCTTGTTGCTGTCTCTTTTGAAAAGAATAGAACTTGTTGCTGTGACTTTTTTGTGATAGGACTAAATCAATCACAGAATAGAATAGAATGCATGTTGCTATCATTTTTCAGAATATAGAATAGATGGGTGACATTAATGTATTTAAATAAAAAAAAAAGTTTTATCAATATATTCAAATGCAAATCTAATCTAAATTAAAATGCTAATAAAAAATATAAATTACTATAAATCTATAAATTCTAAAACTAATGCTCAAAAATCAAAATCTTGTTTTTTTTTAAGTACATACAGTTCATAAACTGAATCATTGTTAATTACTTTAACATATTGTCAATTTCTATTAATAAAAAGTTAGAAAACAAGAGGCTTTATTATAATTACAGAATAAATATAGGAAGTGTGTTTATATAAAATAGGATTTTTTTATTCAATAAATAAAAATAACAAATAATAAATATCAATTATCACAATATCAGTGCTCATGTTTTCCATCAAATTGACTGCTTTAAGTCTGTCTGTGAGTGTATTTTCCCAGGGACTTTTACTTTTATAGTTAACAGTACTTAATTATCCTCAAGTGTTCAGATGAAAGTATTTTTTCTTCTCTCTTTCTATCAGTCCCCATGCCCTCACTCTATCCCATAATCCACCTCTCCTCCAGTCTCTCAGCATTCCCACAGAAGAATCAGCGTCTTCTGTCTTCTCCTACTGAGTCTTCATCAGTTTACTGTCCATCTCCATAGTCAATATACAGTAAAATTGAGCTCATATTGACTGTGTTGGAGTCAGTGTGATTAAGCTGGCAGGGTACACTTGATGGTGTTTATTGTTCACACCAGTTCGACTCCAGAGAGTCCTGTGCTGGTCTCATTAAGCCCGGCTTAGCTGGCATGGCAATGCTGCTCACGCCAGAGCCCATTGCTAGCATTAAGCAATCCGACTCCATGGCAAAATAAATAAATAACTCAACTGTCACTTTTTTTCTCCCCTCCCTCCCCGTCTCACTCTCAGAGAGGTTCTCTTAGAATAGAACATGATTAAATAAAGCATTGGGCCGTGCATTAAAAATTGATGACCCACAAGTCCCTGCAGCCGAGGGAAGTGGCAGCCTGACCACACGCTCCTGAAACCGCACTGCCGTAATACCACAGACATTCTCCAGTGAATGAGTTTATCAGTTGATCATGTTACTTCAAGAACAGTGTGGAACAACTTTTCCCGCTGTGCTTTTTTAACGTGTAGTTCTAACTCTGCCGCCCTCACGGCATGCTATTTCTGTGTGAACGGGCTTTCTCTCTTTAACACATTAAGTATAATCCCTTTAAAGAAGTGACGTGGAAGCCTCTGTGACGGAGTGAATGGAACAACTTTACTGGTTTCCTTTTGCTATTTTTCATTTCATTATTATCATTGCAATTATTTTTTTTCTCTCCCAATTATCTTTTCAAGTGAGAATAAGGTTATTTTTGCATTGTGTTAGTTGTCATGAAAATACTTTTTTTAAGGACCAGGTAGGTTCACACTGTAGCATTTATTGTCATATGACAATTGAGATTCTCATTATTGTAATACTAATGAATTATTTAATTCAATACATAAAATACTACTGTAATTCTTCACAATTCTTCACATAATTTTTCACTTAGAATAAGATTTTTTTTTTTCTTTTGCATTATGTCAATAAGAATTTTTTGGGGGGTAAATGTGCTAAATTGTCTTAGAAATAATGCCACAATGCAAAAATCACAATGTCCTTAAAATAGCCTTTGTCTTTATACAAACTATATCTCTTTTTTCTGCATGCAGAATATCATTTCTATAGGATGAAATATGACCCGTGCATGTTTTTCTCCTAGAGAGAGATCTACTCAAGACTCCTTCAGGTTCGCAGTGCACTGAAAGCTGAAAGCAGGGCAAATTCTGTCATGGCCACGGTGGTGATAAACCCCCTCCATTTCACTTTCAAAGCTGGCAACCCTGTAACGGAACTGACAAAGTGCCAAGGACTATCCCACAGCTCGCCATTGCCACGTGGCAAAAAAGCGTCCTTTGTTTCACCTGTGGAATAAACCTCAAGGTAACTGACCACCTCTGGATGGTTCAGGTATGTTGGTGTCTTTTCCCCCACAGATAAATGAAAGACTCACCCTCTGCAATCAAACTTATATATTACACATTACAGCTTGATAATGTCCTTTTTCTCTCCAGCTCATAGCCCCACAAATCCGTCACACATATTGACTTTAGGTCAGAAGACATCAATAAACTATTTGCAAAGTGTGCATGCCTGGAGAGCTTGCCAACATACTTTATATGTTCTCCAATCATATTAAAAATCCGAGGTATATACAGCTCAGGCTGATGTGATTTGCTCAGTTGATCCTGGAGCCATTATGAAAGCACTGTTTGTATGTAAACCCTTAAGGAGATTTTGCTTTTTAAAACCATACACATGAATTTCAGGAGGAAGTGTATTGTACAAGTTATATATTTGTGTGTTTTTATCCAGATGTGTACTGTAATGCTGCACGGTGAGTATGCTTTTAATGAAAAAGTTATGCAAAACGAAAATACTCACACTTGCAACTTTTTTTTGCACAAACCTGCTCAGTGCATTTGCTCATTTTTGCATATGATCCCTATGAAAGCACATTGTAGTTGTACGCACCTGTGTAATTGTTGGTGAGAGCCTCAGTGCTGTTCATCTCCGTCTCAGTGGCAGGTGGAGTGGTCTGATGAAAAACGGGACTGACCGAAGACCCTTCATGTGGCGTAAAAGTCCGAGCCAAGCTCCACGTCAGAGACCACAGCAGGAAACCCCAGGTGAGGAGGCTCTCTTTCAAAGCCATTGAAGTCTGGGGTTAAAAATGAGAAAGAGAGTGTGAATGTCAGTCGGTCATATCCGCCGGTCCTTGGTGACTCCAGAGGCTCTCCTGCGCTTCCAACAGCAGAGGCTGCTCGCTCCTCCAGAGGATCAGAGACCGAGAGGGAGGGTGGGAGGGAGTTACGCTGACTCCACGCAGCGCAGCTGTGTGTTTCTCCTCCGTAAGCCGCTTGTCACTGCAGCTCGGCTGCTGAATATGATCCGCTTGCGTAATGCAACACACGGCAGAGCTGGAGTCGCTTATGTGCTCACACATCCTCATACCGAATGCATCACTCTCTCTCTCTCTCTCTCTCTTTCTCTCACGTGATTACAAGACAATGGCTTTAAAGTGGAGGCATATTTACTAGATTGTTTTAGTTCAATGCACTGAATTGAATTGAATCCTCCAAACTAAAATTCGAATTGTCATATTTTTCAAAAACACAAATGTTTTCCACAGTTTTGCAATTCTAGTATAAAGCAATGGAAATTAATTTAATACATGGCATGGGAGCTGCACATCTGATGGTGCTTTTAATATATATATATATTTATACACACACACATATATATACACTTCTGTTCAAACGATTGAGTTTCAAATGTTTTTGTAAGAAGTCTCATGATCACCAAGGCTGCATTTATTTGATCAAAAATACAGTATAAAACAACAATATTTTGAAATATTTTTACAATTCAAATGAACTGTTTTCTATTGTAATATATTTTCAAGTGTAATTTATTTTTGTGATCAAAGCTGAATTTTCGCCATCATTACTTTAGTCTTCAGTGTCATGATCTTTCAGAAATCATTCTAATATTCGTATTTGCTGCTAAAGAAACGTTTCATATTATCATCCATATTAAAAATTGTTAATGAATATAAAGTTCTGTTTTAATTTGAAATATAAATATTTTGCGTAAAAGTTGCTGCCTTATTTTTAAGTATCAACTTGGATGTTTAAGTGTTTTCAAGTTAAATTGCATTAAACTGACTTAAAAATAAGCTGAATCTTGTATAATATATATTTTTTTAATTCCTTAATTTATTTTTGAAGTGTTAAAGCAATGTAAAACTTTATGTTGTCAACTCATATATATAATATATAATCTAATATATATAATCTAATATATATATATATACATATATATATAATATTATATATAAATATTAATATAAATATACCTCCCGCTACCTCCCATTTGATATCTGATCTGATAATGATGGCATTTTTGGACTTCATAATTTTCATATATGCCTTAATCTCTCAGTTTCTAACCAAATAGTATATAGGTCTAACCAAATATATAGTAGCAAAGCCTTCGACCTCTGAATCCACCTCACACATGATGACAATGCTCTCTCTGTCTGTAATGCAGCAGAGTGTGTAAGTCATTTCATGTGAAATATTGAGTCTGTCAAAAAGTGTCTACTTTGTCTTACCTCATTCAATCATTCCTTCTTGCTGTTGTCCATTTTATTGTAAAGGTTATAAACACTGTTAGTGCAGCATGTCTCTGTCACTCACTCACAGCTGTATTTATATCCCCTTCAGAGCTGACAGTGATGTTGGTGACAGACTCCTCTTTCTCTAGCTGTGACCCTTCTGTACTGTGAGTGTTTTCCCAGAGAGAGAAACAATCAGACTCTCAACTCATGTCTTAATATCCCCTTCTCTTTGTGAGTTTTTGCTCTCAACGTTACACTTCTTCAGCATGAATAACAGATTGTTCAACGAGCCCCTTGATTAATCAAAAACCTCTGGTGGTCTTTTAAGTCTCTGTAATGCTAAAGATCCTCACCCACATCAATATAATATAACCCTGATCTTAATGGCTCCTCTCACCCCATCAAGCCCTTATAACTCTGCCCAAGAGGAGGACAGCACTTAATCTTCAGCATTGTGTCTTGAAAAACATGGTCTTTTCACAGCCTCATGCAGGAGCAGCGCTTCTCCTGACTGCTTGTTCACAGTGTTTGAAGATTTAAGCGTTTCTGACATTCATCCCCTGCTAAAACCCTAAAGAGGTTTACAGGTAACTTAGGCAACATTGATTAGGTTATGCAACTCTCTGTTCTGCGTTTCCTCCCCACTGACTGTATGGAGAGCAGACCGTTGATTTAAATGTAGAGAAACGCAGAACCTGTAGCGTGATCACACTTGAGAACCCTGAAGAAAATTAGAGAATAAAAGTTTATCAAACAAACAAAAGCACACAAACAGCTCTGCCCTCCTGCCCGGCTCATTCGTTTTTATCAAACAAAGCTTTGGTTTAGCACGGCATTTTCTCAGATTAAGTTTGTGTTCAGAAAGAAATTACAAAGACTTAAAGACCGCATTACGCAATAGAAAAGCAGCAGGTTTTTATTTGTTGTTGGCCGTATTACATTGCAGATATTCTCTTGCAACAACACTTCACAGTTTTCCACTAGGTGGCATGTGATGTACATAGGCCTAATGGTCATTTTAAAATGTATTGGACTGATGGAAGATTCTGTTTTAGTGCTTTTTCATACAAAAACGGGCAGAAACACTGGTAGGCAATTGTATAATTATTATATACAGTATAGAACAAGATAATTCAGAACAATAAATGTAATAAAAATTGTACAGTCGAAATTAATGATAAAAATACAGTATATATATATATATATATATATATATATATATATGAAATTAATGTAAATACATTTTATAATAAAATTATAATTGATATATGAATAGCAATTAAATGTTAACATGCTAAATAATATAAATTAATTAGGCTAAATACTATTATTTTATTCAAGTCAAAATTGGACACACTAGACTTACTGAATTTGTTTCACATTTTTAAAATATTTTGATCGAAAGGCATTTTCCTAAATTGTGCCTTTACAAAATGTATTTATTTTCTTTTTAATTATTTTGTTTTTATTAGATTATAAGGAATCTTATAATAAAGAAGGCAGATTAAGTGTCCAACAACTTTAAAAAGCCTCTCATGATGCACATCACGAAAATTTGTTGTAGCCTATTATTATGCTAAAATGTGGAAAACGGTCAGAATTAATAATAAGTAGACTAGCAGTGCGCATCCGCGGTCTATGCATTATCCTGCATACATGAACTGTGCGCTACTAATCATGAAATACATGCTATGTTGAATCAGTGAACACTGGCTGCTGTCACGAGCTTTTGTGCTTCTGCTGTTTGTCCAGTGGCCTTTATTTTCTGACAGTCTTAACTCCATGTTCTCTGATCCCTGTTGGGTTTATTCTAAGAAACTGACGGTGTTGCATGTAAACTGTTCAATTTGGCCCAGAGCTTCGCAACCCCACGACCCCACAGCCGGCGTTGCCAAGTCCGCTTATTGTAAGCGACTTTGGCGGGTTTTTTTTATTTATTTTTTTTATTTTTTTTTGGCTTGTTTCTTAAGTGTAGTTGCTTATTTGGGCTTGATGCCAAGCAGATATTTTCTATATGTTATTTAAATGTAGGAGCTTGGACCCAGATGGCACGAGTAGCCAATCAGAGGCAGTTTTTTTTCCATTTTTTTTTCTGGTTAGAAAAACGTTAGTGAGTGACATTTAAATGAAAATAACGGCGAGTCGCGACTGATAGTGACTGAACTGTAGGTGAGTTTTTATATATTGATTATTTTTTATATATTATATTGTAGTTTGACCCTTTAACTGTCACTCCCCCTTCATCATAATCATCAAACTTAAATGGTTGTAATTCAAAAATGCTTTGGAATATATACTAGGCTAGAACTATTTGGTCTTGTTTTAAAGAAGACCATTTGCCAGATTATTTTTGAAGTGAAGTAACGTTATTATGAAATTATGAAAGTGAAACAGAAAAAAAGTTATAAGTTTGAGTTTATAAAAATGAACAATGTAAAAATATAATTATTTATATTTTATATAAAATATATATATTATAAAATATATTTTACTCTAAAACTGCAAGAAAATGTAAGTCAAACGTCTAAAGAAGTTGTGTTCCAAATTTTAGGTTGATATCTCAATAATGAGCTTTCAGTAAGATTTCATTTGTGCTCAGTACTACCACTGATGGAAAGCCAAGCTTGTAGGCTACCGTTGTGCACAGCAAAATGCGCACAGTTTAAGTTTACCAATCTGTCCACGTGGATGTAAATTGACAATCTGTACGGTACCCAGTTTAAAACCATCCATCCCCACGTGCACACAGTTTATTTTTGTTTCTTTATTTTGTGGGGCTTGTTTTCGCCGGCCTGGTTGCTTATTTGTCTCGCGAGATCTGGCAACACTGCCCACTCTGCCCACAACCATTCATAAACTCCACTCATTTAACTCTGATTGGTCCAGCTTCAAACTGGGAGGAGATAGGGTTAGATTAAATTAAAATTATCTTTACCGTGCAGTCTTACATTTCGTATTTATCATTGGAAAGGTTTTTTATAACGCACACAGACAATGCGTTTATTCAGAGGACAGTTCATGATACTTGTACGCAATTTTATGTGTTACAAATAAGGAAGCAAATGGGATTCGCAGATAGACGCATTTACAGGTGGAGACACAAAATCTGTCGGGCGCATTTCATCAATACACCCTGAAAGCTGAATAAGAGGGTCTGCACATCACTCATAGATGGATTAGAAGGACAACATGACCAGGCATATTCAAACAGGAACCAAAGCGCACAATCTATGCAACTAGACCAACTTTTCCAAGAAGGCACGGAGCGCGTAAAACGCAAGAAAAGGGGGAACAGCAATTTGCGCGGACAACAGCTACTTCACAATTATAATTTATGTGAAAATTGAAAGAGGAGTAAAGTGACTTGTGACTTGTTTCTTGAAGATCCCTGAACTTCTACGAGCTGAATTGAGCAAAGCGTTCTCCCATGAGGCTGGAAGGCGCCAGAATGGACTTAATCAAAAAAATATGGACGGCTCGGAAACTCATTCTCGTGGTCATGATTCCGTTATCCCTGCTGCCTCTGCCTCTCATCCATCCGTGCAGTGTAAGTATATCTTCATCCAGTTCTACAATCACATGAGCTCGTGCGCAGTGCGCGGTGTCCGTGCGCTTTTACGCACTAATGCGCGTTGGGTATTTGCACTAACTTATACTTTACTCCGGTCTAAAACAATACATTAAACATGCATTTTGTTGAAGCATTAAAACATTTACACGATATTTCATTGATTTAGATTACTTTTATTCCGCGGAACCCTTTTCATATAATTGCAGACGCTTGG